ACGAATTTCCAAAGGAAGGTCTGTCCCCCCCCCCCCCCCCCCCCCCCCCCATCCAATGAAGAACGACCCATGATCCCCTCTCCCCACGTTAGGTTTCCCACACCACGGAACTTTCCAAGGTCGACATAGCGTTCCGGCTGCTGAGGCTGGACAACGCCTACGTCTGCAACGCCGGGCGGTTGGTTGGGGTGATCACCCGGGAAGCCCTGGCCGACTTCGTAGACGATCGCGAGGTCTCCCCTATGGACGACTGCGTGCGGTGCGTTCGCTGGATTGTTCTAAATCTCACCGAACATTGTTTTGTTGAGCTGTGCGCGTTTTATTGTTTGGGTTTTCGTCGTCGAAGGTGCCAGACCACCGCCTTTTTTTGTATGTTTTGGTAGCAGTACGGCAACGTTCCTTGTCCTCGCGCGATGATTCTCGGTTTGGAATACTGCGTGAGCGGTACGTGCACCTATCTCGCTGTCTGTGAATATCTATTTCTATGAGTAGGTATCCCTTCTCCCGCACCTTGAGTTGGTATCTCTTCTCCCCCCCCCCCCCCTTGCCTCTCGCCAAAGGACTTCGCGGGGATGTTAAGCTTGGGGTACACGGGGTTGGGGTTGGGGGGCCACAGGGATGGGGATACGATCGACCCCCTCGTCTATTTCATACGAAGTAGTAGATTACAAACACAACCCTCGCGAAGGCGGTCCCCTCTCTCTCAACCCGCCAGAAACTATCCTTGTTATTGATCTTCGTTCGTGCATAACAACGACCGCCCCCCCGTGGCCCTTCGCCCATACACCTCCATCCCGTGCCAGGCTATGCGGGGCCTTGGCATGCTGCCTTCCCGGGAGAGCTCCAGCCGACGACAACGCCGGGGGCAGCGGCCTCCGCAGGCGCATCAGCCGTCGCAGCATCAGCCGAGGAAAGCTGGCCGCCTCGGCTGTCGTCGGAGAACTCCCTCCGGGACGGGGGGGTGCGACGACGACGAACAATAGCGTATCGGCACTCCGCCGCCGAGGGGCGGGGGCTCCAGACGGCACGGTTCGATTTGAAACCACCACCACCACCACCACCGCTACTGATAATGTCGCTAATGTCGCAGGCGCGGATCTCGGCTTCGCGACGAGCGGGCAGCCGCTGCTGGGCGGCGGCGGCGGGCTCAACAGCCGGGGTTATTCCAGTCTGGGCGACAACACCGAAGGCGGCGGCGAGGAGGGTCGGGAAGGGGACGGTGGCCGCGGGGGTGCTTCTTCCCCCCGGCGCGGTGGGAGCGGGGAGTGGGACGCGGTTTGAAAGCGTGGTTTTGGTTTCTCTATTTAGGGCGTTTTTTTTGTGTCTACTTCCTGCGCTGCGCTGTTGAGGCACCCTTGCGTGCAAGGACCTCTCCAACACCGCCGGTGGTGGTGATGGTGGTCGGGGATCACGGACCAGGCGGGTTGCTTGTAGCAAGTCGGGGGCAGCACGCTCGCCGAAGACGACTGGCCCCCTTGATGGCTAGAGGCGGAGGCTGCCCGTGTTGCGTCAGATCACCCTAGTTTCCCGGTTGGAACCGCTGGTGTCCTTTGCGCTGGCGCCCCTCGCTATGCATACAAACCAGGGCTTTTTCATGCCTCAGGCTGGGGGGAAAAAAATAACGCGGGGACACAGGAAAGAGATAGTATTTTCAGTCCAGTCACAAACTTTTTTGTTGCTTGTTCGATGGTGTCCACAGGTCATGTCGGCTCTTCTTTGCCGGTGGCGGGGGGGGGCAGTCATGTAAACCCATGCCGTAACCCTTTTCGCCTTGGGGCGGGGGGGGGGGGGGGGGTGACATTT